TTCGAGGAACTCTGCTATTCGAGAAAAGTGGACCCGCACCGTTTCAATTTCGAAAAAGGACTGCGGCCTCCTCGGCCTCCTACGCGCAGCTACCGATCCTACACGGTCCTGGGACCAAAACCCGTGCGGTCCCACTGATAGCTACCGGTCCTGCAGTTTCAAATAAGATGCCACCACCCCATAAACTGTCATGCCTTGTTTTTCCAGCCTTCCAACGGCTGTATAACGAACGACGACGAAAAATGTTCTCAAGGGCATAAAACGCACCCTTGACAGGCTGTGAACACGGTCCTGGGACCAAAACCCGTGGAGTCTCATGGACAGCTACCGGTCCTGCAGTTTCAAACAAAAAAAAGTAATTTTGAAATGAATTAAAAATCTTAGAGAATGACATTCAAAAATATAATTATTATGAGAAAAATTGCGAACAAGATACAAAGAGTATAACCAAAAAACAAGCAAAAGTGTACACGTTGAATTCGAATACAACGGGTACTTTTTCTGTCGAGGAACTCTGTTATTCGAGAAAAGTGGACCCGCACCGTTTCAATTTCGAAAAAGGACTGCGGCCTCCTCGGTCTCCTACGCGCAGCTACCGGTCCGACACGGTCCTGGGACCAAAACCCGTGCGGTCCCACGGGCAGCTACCGATCCTGCAATTTCAAATAAGATGCCATCACCCCCTAAACTGCCATGCCTTGTTTTTCCAGCCTTCCAACGACCGTATAAAGAACGACGACGAAAAATATTCTCATGGGCATAAAACGCACCCCTGACGGGCTGCGAACACGATCCTTGGACCGTGCAGTCCCACGGGCAGCTACTGGATGCCACCACCCCCTAAACTGCCATGCCTTGTTTTTCCAACCTTCCAACGACTATATAACGAACGACGACGAAAAATGTTCTCAGGGACATAAAACGCACCCCTGACGGACTGCGAATATACTTGCGATGGCCTTGAGGTATTATCATCGGACTAACCAGCCCAGGTAAAGTCAATGTTGTGTCGAATCTGACATCGGGTGGTCTTTTCAGCGCAGGGTGGCCTTGATTGCCTTCAGGGAACGCCCAACGGGGGACACCGGCCATGGGACAGCCGGTGGCAGAGGGACCGAGCATCATCTGAGTGTCCAGTCGCTGTGCCTCCCCGATTACCCCTCCCCCTATGAGCATCAGCAGAGGCGGCTTTTTAATGCCAATTGGGGGGACCAATGTGCTATCTCTAGGTGGTGGGCGCCAAGCATGCCCAGGAAGGTACATGAGGCCAATGGGGATTGAACCCAAGACCTTTTGAATGCAACTTGCGTGCCTTATCAACTGAGCTAGGCCGCTGGATACATATACTTATTGCAAACATCATGGTGATTATTTTTTTTTTATAAAAGTTTTAGAATATTGTAGCTTTGATGGTTTTTGTTGCGAATATTTGCATTTATTAGCGTAGACGATATTGCGATTCAGATAGGGTATTGAATGTGGTTATAAATAACAAATGTGGCTCTTGTGGTTGATGCACCCGAGCCAAGGGTCCACATGAGACTACTATGGAA